GTTCTTCTAGGTGTTCTAACTGCTACTATTGCGGAATTAAAAGTACAGAAAATAAAGAACACAGAGATTTTTACGTGAAAAATACCTGGCTCAAAAGGTGAAAAAATCACGACCTACTACTCAGTAGGATTTTCTAAACCAATTGATGTTCTAAACGTTAATACCACACAAGAGGGGGGTGATTTGTATGGTACCCATTCGATCTAGAAGAACCTGGTTCTTCTAGGTGTTCTAACTGCTACTATTGCGGAATTAAAAGTATAGAAAATAAAGAACACAGAGATATTTACGTGAAAAATACCTGGCTCAAAAGGTGAAAAAACCACGACCTACTACTCAGTAGAATTTTTCCAAACATCCACTAAAATCACTGAGCCAAAACAGCATTTATAAAACTCTTTATAAACCTAAGGATTAACTCTAATCCCTGTGTAGCACACAATCTCAACTGTTGCGACACCTTCAAGTTAGCCTATAACTTGAACACTCAAAGTACCTATTACAAATGCTTCTATGAAAGCTGAAAATGTACAACTTTAAACCACCTACTACAATTGAACTAGAATAAGAATAAACACAATGGAACTGGTTCTTCTATCTCATTCAAGTAGCTTCAGGTTTGCACACTTGAATTACACACGAACTGCTTGCAAAAAGCGTTACTATTTTGCTCTCTATTCACGTTTAACTTCTGCATATGTGTAATACCTGTAAAAGAGAACAATCATTGTTATTTAATGAGTTAGTAATCAGAGTTTGATTGAGACTCAATTGCTGATCTTCCATCGAAGTTGAGTCCTTGTTCAATACAAACTCCAACCCTATCATTTATTTGGATTGTGTGATTGTGTCCTCTTCCCATAAGGAGACTTTCTCTCTTCATCCAATATGCAACCTTTTCAATCAATTCAGGAGATATTGCTGCTTGATTACTGAGACTTATCTCCTTCACGTGTATCTCACATGTCTAGGTTGATATCTACTATGCCTCACATGATGAACCTGGTCCATGACTGAGTTCATTTGTTATTCTTCAAAACTTCACTTGAACTTGGGCCAACATACCAATTCATCCTAAAATAAAGCATTTTATTTGGTTGCTTAACCATAATAGATTGCCAACACGTAAATTCCTACACATGTTACATATCATCAATGATGCCACTTCTTCTTCTTGCTAGGGGTGTTCAAATCGAACTGGAACCAAATCGATTAAAAATCCCGACTAGGTTTGGTTTGACTTGATTTGGTAGTGAGTAAAAAAAATCGAACCAAACCGACATATAAATATATAAATTTTATTTATATTTTTAAGACTTTATAGTAATTTTTCTTTAGAAAATATAGAAATATTTGGGATCCTCTCATGTATTAAATTTGAAAGCGTAAATTAACGAAAAATTATTATTAGACGACTAAGAAAATAACTATCATGTATTACTAAAAAAATTCTCCCATTAGAATATTTTAATAGATCATATGTTTGTTAAGTTTTTTCATATTTACTAAACATATATTCACTTATCAAAGATTTATCTATAATTTTAATAAAGTAAGATTGAAATAATATTCATGTAACAAAAAAACCCGAAAACCCGAAAAACCAGACAAAACCTAACCAATCCAAATCGATATAGTTGGTTTGCTTTGATTTTGTTAAAAACTGAACCAAGCCGGTCCATGTACACCCCTACTTCTGGCCATGAGGTAGATGAAACTTTAAATCATATCTTCTTAACTTGTGCAAATGCTAGACTCTACTGGCACAGTCTGGGTTTAGGAGGCATCTGAACACACAAATCCAGTGGGACACACCCCAGCAATGGCTATTCCCTTTAATAAATTACAAAGGCATAAAGTTACCTTATAACATTAATCCGCGTACCTACTTACCTTTAAGCCTTTGGAACATTTGGCTCACTCTCAATAGGAACACTCCCGATGGACTTCGCACTAGCATAAACATCAATTTCACAATGCAACAAGCAACTGAATTTTCTTACCTGGCAGCTTCTTATTCCCACAAAGTGCCCCAAAGGGTCATGACTCCTCTTAAATGGATACCTCCCGAGCCTAATTTTTACAAACTAAACACTGATGGGGTACACACACCAGCACTGCATACTGATGGCATTGGGGGCCTTATTAGAAACCACAATGGGGATTGGATTGTAGGTTTATTAGGGAACATGCCACGACAATCATCTATCTCCGCAGAATTATTTGCTTTGATACAGGGTCTTAAACTAGCAAGTCAGCGCGATCAATCACTATGCTGCATTGTGACAATATAATACATGCTAATCAACTATTTAACTGCAGGCAACTTCTGCTGACGCTCCATAATACCAGGGTTCAACATGCGTATAGAGAACAAAATCGAGTTGCAGATCAACTGGCTAAAGCAGAAAACTTTTTGGAAGGCAGTCTTACAATGCGAGTTTTTGATAAACCACCACATTTTGTAACGCCTCTTTTGGAAGCTGATAAAAATGGACTAACAATTATGCAACCTCTACCAAAAATAGCGTCAGGAGCAGTAACAGCACACAAAGTATATGCATGGAGGCACATCAGATGTTATCCACATCCTTTTATTGTTGTGATGATAATTCCATTAGGAATACCACAAACAATGTTGCTACTACTAGTTTTAACCAGTGTTTTAAAAGGCGTTCCTGGGGCGAGCCCTAGGGCGAGGCGTACCAAAAACGCCCAGGGCCGATGGTGGGGGGCGAAAATCCCGTAAGGCGTACGCCCGGGCGAGTTTTTTGGTTGAGGTGTAAGCCCAAGAGATATCTTTTTAAAAAGGAATTAAGAACATTAAATTTAAAAGTAAACTTTTTAATATTGCTAAAAGCCCTAAATTAGAACTCTTTCCCAATTCTTTCCGCTAGTCTGCCTCTACCAAGAGCAACGATTTATCACTTTTTTTGGCAACAGAAAACTTCATTCTTCTCCGTAAGTCAAATTCAACAGGTTTGTTCTTTCCTCCATGTAAAAACTTTATTATTTTGAACTCATTACTTTCCTCTCTTTTTATATTTCATTGTTAGTTTGTAAATATGTATGTAATTAGTTTTTTAAGTTCAATGTTTCTCTTGCTCTCTTTCAAAATATAATATGGGATTATATGTATGCGTCTTTTATATATATTGATTAGATTTATATATAATTTCACTTATTTATTTGAGATTTATAATTTCATTAGATAATATGGGATTTCACTTATATATAATTATTTGGGATTTATATGTAATTTCACTTTATTTGGGACTTCTATATGATTTCATTAGATAATATGGGATTTCACTTATATATAATTATTTGGGATTTATATGTAATTTCACTTATTTGGGACTTCTATATGATTTCATTAGATAATATGAGATTAATTATATATTTCACTTATTTATAATTTTTTTCAAAATTTTATGCAATTTTACCTATTTAATAATATTTTTTATAATTATATTATTTTATAAAATATTAAAAATTGAATATCCATGGGGCTTACGCCCCGCTGAGGCATATACAAAACGCCTCGCCTTACGTCCGCGCCTTTTAAAACACTGGCCTTAACTTAGATTGTAATATGGTGCAACTTGGGCACTAGTCTCTGTACGCATGTTTTAATTAATGCTATCTATCTTTCTTACCAAAAAAATAAAAAGTTTATTATTAGAACTTTATGTAATGTTCGTATTAAAATATATAACTCATAGAAAATAAAATTATATCTAGCATTTTTCTGATATGCCTTCATCTCATTCACTATGTTGAAACACACAAGAGCCAACGCGTTGCATTTCTAGATGCACGAAACCTGACAACTGCAACTCGTAAAAAACTTATTTACATTCGATGTTTCCACCAAACCACATGAATTAATCATATTTTAATTAGTAACGAATGAGTCGGCCATAGTACATAGAAGAAACATGTCATATATTTATTGATTTGATATAAACACCTGATCGTAAAGGTAAGTTTTTTCCACTACAATCCCACTTGACTAATTGCAACGAAAGGGAAAGGAGACTTACTAACAATCAAACCTCTACCACAAACATCATTACATATATGCAAGATGAAATTTTAGAGATTTTTCTCATATATGTATGATGCATATAGGAAAATATTTGGGATCTTTACACAAGTAGCCGGTCGGATTACTATTTAAACGGGGTCGCCCTTTGTATACAGTCAAACAAAATTGCAATTTAATAAATAAATTTAAAAAAAAAAAACAGAAAATTTCTGCAACCTAAAGTTAACAAATTTCTGCAATTTTAGAAACAGTTGTTGGACATAGGTACTATTAGATGTATTTAAATAATCATAATTGAAAGCTTGAACCATATGAATCATAATATTATAGTCATTATCTTATGATCTCATAATATGAAAAAAAAAAAAAGTTTTAAACTTTGTTTAAGGATTGTAAGGCGCGAAAACAACCACTGAATTATGCCCTCCAAATCCAAATGAATTGGAAATACCTGCAAAAAGGAGAGAAAATAAGAGATATTAGATGAGGTTGTTCGAGCCATAGAAGCAGGGGCGTATCTAGGTCTTAGGATATGGGTGCACGCGTATATATTTAAGTAATTTTCAAGAAATATATAGTATTGTTATTTTCTTATTTTCTCTCCTTCTGGAGGGAGAGGAGTATGAGTTCATGTTAACCCATATCCTAAGACCTAGATACGTTCTTGCTTCTAGATATATATTTGAAAATCACTAAAATTAAAAGAATATAATATTGTACCTATTAATTCAAAAGTATAGTAGGTTTATAGTAAGAGACTAAAATTAAACTCGTCAAATGTAAATTCTAAATTCAGCTATTCACAATAGTGCACTCATCCTCTTCAAATACTGGATCTACCTCTAATAGTAGCTGCCACTAATGCTTGCATTAGGGACTCAGAGGCGGAGCCAAGATTTGAAGTTTATGGGTTCGAGAATCTAATCTGTTTAAGTTACTGGGTTCTAAATTAATAAATTGTACATATTCGATGAATTTTCTAAAGACAAACACAACGTTTGAACAAAAGCTACTGGGTTCGGCCGAACCCGCAGATCGCGTTCTAGCTCCAACCCTGATTAGGGTGGCTGTATACACATCACACCCTTTAGAGTGCGGTCCTTCCCCTGACTTTGCGTGAATGCTGGATACTTTGTACACTGGACTACCTTCTAGATGAGGCTGTTGTATCTGCTTTTGTTTTCTATTTATCCTCTCTATTTTAAGGCAAAAATACTCTCATTAACCAACATTTGATGAGAGATTTGTGCCAAAGGATGAAAATACTAACCAACATTCACTTCATGTTGTTTCTTCACATTTGGAACAGTGTCTATCGTAACCTGAGGTTCCAAATCCTACACGCAAAAGTGAAGAAATTAGAGCTTAGAACAGCGATTGAACTGCAGGATAATGTATAAATAGAGGAACAGAGTTGGTCAGTAGTTACATCTTGGTTAATAGTTGGATGTAGCCAACCAGTTGTTATTGCTTTGATCGTTGCAATCGCTTCAAGTCCACCAGCGGCCCCGAGTCCATGCCCAATCATTGACTGAACAACAAAAGTAAACAAATTAAACATCATCTAGTTATACAGCCACTGCTATATGTAGTATTTTTACGCAGATGGATCATGTTTTATTCGACGAGAATGAGCTTAAGCACATATGAACTGTATGCTAAATGAGCTATAGAGGATGGTCTAGCAATATTGATCACTATTTACTGGATAGGTAATCATAAAAGTAAGGAGATAAGTTAAGCCGGTTTCCTTATAGGATAAGCTTTAAAGTATGAAACCTTGATCGAAATGATGTTCTTAGATAGTCACGAAGAAAATAGGCAAGAGCTATTTCTTTGCTTGTAACGATCGATATTAGGACATGCAAGGGGCAGTGGCAGTAGTCCTGTCCTCGTTTGTAGTAACGATCAAGTTATTTTGCTCGAAAAAACATCTATTTGAATGATAGTTCGACCAATGTGAGTTGTTATTATTTGGAACACGATTATTCTCACCTTTGTTCCGTTCATCTTAATCTCTGAAGTATCCTTAAAAACCTTCTTGATTGCATTGACCTCTGCCAAATCTCCAGCAAGGGTTGATGTTGCATGCGCGTTAATGTAATTCACCTATTTGAGGAAGTATTTAACAATCAACATATCAGCAATCAAATAGTACAGAACATATACAGGATGGACCAAAGTGCAGGATAAAAGGGCAGCCCGGTGCACCTAAGCTCCCACTATGCGTGGGTCCAGTGAAGGGCCGGACCACAAGGGTCTATTGTACGCAGCCTTACCCTATATTTCTATAAGAGGTTGTTTCCATGGTTCAAACCTCTGACTTCCAGGTCACATGACAGTAACTTTACCAGTTACGTCAAGACTTCGTACGAAAGAGCAGGATGCTTTTCAAAACAGAAAGCATAAGAGCAATCTTACCTCTTCAGGAGAAATGCCAGAATCTTCCAAACTTTTGGTTATGCAAGATGAAACTCCAAGCCCATCGGAACGAGGATCAGTCATGTGATGAGCATCACAAGTAACAGCTCCTCCCAAGTATTCTGCTATAATATTAGCACCTCTTTTCAACGCATGCTCCAAACTTTCCATTACCTGTTCACATTGAGTTAATTCCATCATGTTACAAAGCTACGACAATTTTTTGGCAGAGCGAAACAATTTCTATTGCTAATAAAGCCAATTTATCAAAAGGAAGAATGTGGCCGAGTTTGTGTACCAGGACACCAGAACCTTCGCCCATGACAAAACCATCACGATTCTTGTCCCACGGCCTTGACGCCTTATGTGGTTCATCATTTCTTTGAGATAAGGCGCGACAAGCTATGAAGCCGCCAACACCAGTAGGCACGATTGCAGCTTCCGTCCCACCTGCTACCATAATATCAGCTTCACCCCTTCTAATGTGATTTGCAGCAGCATAGAAGCAGTAGTTTGCAGTTGCACAAGCCGTTGAAATGGAATAATTAGGTCCCATTAGTCCGGTACCTATAGCTAACAATGCTGATCCCATATTGGTGATAGAGTAAGGGATGAAAAATGGACTGATTTTCTTGTATCCTTTCTGAACTAAGGATTCCACTCCACTGCTAAAAGCTGTTAATCCTCCCATTCCAGTTCCAACTAAGACGCCGATTCTTGTTTTGTCCATCTGCAATACAAATGCAGAAGTGGAGTTAGGTTTAGCCCTCGTCGGAAAATTATACTATTGTGCAAATAGGCCAAAAACAAAAAAAAATTGGTTATATATTAACCATTGAATCTCCTTAACATAAAGGAAGATTTTAGTGTAGCGGTAAAAGGGGTTCAAAAATTACTTCAAGTCACAGGTTCAAATCCTAGATGTGGCATTGTAGTATATTTTTGAATCCCCTTATATGAATTTCTGGTTCTGATGTTGTACAAGAGATTATATTCTTCTTACATGTGGATGCTTATAGGGGCGGAGCTAGAAGTCGACGTACGGGTTATGCCGAACCTAGTACCTTTAGTCCGACTCTATATTTGTATTAAATTTTTTACTAAATATGTACAATAATTAAATTTGAAGGGGAGTCTTGGCGTAATTGGTAAAATTGTTGTCATGTGATCAGGAGGTGAGAGATTCGAGCCATGGAAACAGCCCCTTGTAGAAATGCAGGGTAAGGCTGCGTACAATAGACCCTTGTGGTTCGGCCTTCCCGACCCTGTGCATAGCGGGAGCTTAGTGCACCAGACTGCCATTTTGTGCAAAAAATAAATTTAGAACCCAGGTACTAAAACCTGATGTCGCTATTCTAGAATTTAGAACACATAAAGTTGAAGTTCTATATCCGCCTTACGCCTCTTTCTAACTTAAAGTTTGAAGCATTGAGACTCACAGCTTCAAGAACTTCTTGACCAAGGTTAGCATCATCAAGGGCCTTCTTGCCAGCGACGAGACAGTACCTCCAACAGTCATCCAGACGACGATCATTCTTCCCGTCTATGTAGTCTACAGAGGAGAAATCACGAATCTGTCCTGCAAACCTAACGGAGTAATTCGATGCATCAAATCTGTCGATCAAAGTGATTCCACTCTGTCCCTCAAGCAGACTATTATAGAAATTGTCAATATCACTTCCAAAGACTGAAACAAGGCCCATTCCAGTTACAACAATCCTTTTCTTTGGGTCCTTTTCTCTTTTGGGAGCTGAAGCCATGGCCCTGATTCTTCCACATTTTACAGCTGCTTTTAAGAATTTCATTGGATTAGAATTTTCGACAACCAAAACACAAAATATAAAGATAATCCAAGTTTTCCATATACACAGTTTCCGCGTGGAATTTTGAATCCGCTATTACACAAATTTAAGAGCGTGCTATGCTTAAGATACACCTATATGCATTTTTAGCGCACGACATCAACAAAAGTCCGACTCAAGTGATGCATCATTGAGAGCAAAAAGCTTGTAACTACTAGTAGTAAACATGCATTAATAAGAAGATCATGCTAATAAATGGAGCTACAGAAAATATGACCTTGCAGCAGTTGTGGAGTTCAACTCATGGGTGCTAGACAAAAGGAAAATGGACAGAAGCTCAATAATCCATTAAAACTATATCATTCACCATATTTATAAGGTCATCAATTAATGTGTTCATATAGTTATACCTATAAATTCTTTATAGGCAGTAGCACAGTCAGAATGTTTATTAAGTGAAGTCAAAATATAAAGAGCCAGGTAAATATACAAGAAGTCAAGGGGATTCAACTGTGGCGAAACCAGGAATTTCTCCAAAGGTGTTAAACTTGAAAGAAGTCAAAAAAATTCTCGACAAAGGGTGTTCAATATATGTTAGATACCTCTAAAATCTAATAGACTGTAGCTTTGCCCATGGGATTCAACATATAGTGTGTATATATATATTAACAATTACTTGTCTACACAGTGTAATTTTCCGGCGATATTGACACTCCTTTAAAAAGGTGGCTTCTCCGATGCTTATACATGACCTAGTTGTGTATATTTTGTACACTATTAGTCTATCAGTACATAGAACTTAAACTCTTAGAAAAATAGCAACACCATCTGAATTTGATCAAGGATAACTATTAGTAATTAAAAGAACATTCAAAGCCAAGAAACACTCTTGTCACATTTTCTATACAGGAAAATCCAGAACTACCACCAAAGGATGTGGTGAGTGGATGAGACTGCTCTTCCCTTAATCAAGGTCTCGAGTTCGAGCCCTGGGTATGAAAAAATCCTTGGTAGGGAGCGCTTCTCCCCGTATGGGGCCCTACGCGGTGCGAATCCAGATATAGTCGGGCTCCAATGCGGGTACCGGATACCGCGTGGGAAACCAAAAAAAAGGAAAATCAAGAACTGAAATTGCAGTAATAGCAAGAGAAATATTAATGTACCTTTTGGCTTCCAGGAAATAAACCCCACTGGCATTTTCATGTTTTCTATTGTTCTAAGCCCATTGTATTGGAACAAAGAATTCCCTTTTATCCCTAATTCTCTCTGCTTTAAAATCAAACCAGAAGAATAACCAGTACCAGTAATACTAGTCATTTTCTTTAAACACAAATTATAGTTTGCTTATTATGGCACTATTTCTCTATAACTCAGCTCATCATTTGGTGAATATATAGGAAAAAAAGAAAGTTGACACCCTGTCAAAAGTACAAGAAATGACAGAGACATTGAACAATAAGGAGGGAAAAACAAAGTTAATGTAGTATTTGAGTTGGGATTTGGAGAGTCCGCCAACTAACTATTTCTATGAGAATATATAAAAGTGAAATGACTGCTAAAACAAAGGAAATAATAAATTGCCTAACTAATATCGCCATTAATGCGTATATTGATGAACTAAACTGCTTCGTTGGAAAAATCGCATCTTTTTTAGTTTAACTGAACATTTCTTCTTCAACCACGTAAAATTAGATTAAGAGTTTACGTAAAATTTACCTATAACAAGCCGAGGCGGAACCAGTATTTGAACGCTTTAAAAAAAAAAAAAATTATGCATTGTAGGAGCCCAAATTCAAACCTAGGTCATCAAGAGAGTGAAGGTACTTAAGCACTTCTACAACACAGAGCCTCTGTCCAGATTTTGCGATTTTAAGGGGCCACGTAAAATATTTAAGGGTCCTCGCTGTATATATAGCTATATATGAAATATATATAGTCTTTTTACCGAAGCTAACTGGTTCCGGTGACCCCCACCTCCCAACATAGGTTCAGTGACGGACGCACGTGGTGGCAAGCGGGTTCAACTGAACCCACTTCATAAAAAAAAACGGTATGTATGTATAAATTACGATTAAAGCTGCGTAAATTTTGTATAAATATTTTATTTGAACACACTTGACAATTACTATTTTACGGTTAAAGTTATGTACTTCTAAGATTAAACCCGCTTGCATAAAATTTTGGGTCCGTCACTGCATAGGTCTGCCCCTGATAACAAGTAATTGTTCATAGTAAATGTAATATGACAATCTGAAAAATAGAATAATAATTTATTACAATCAATTAAATTGCATTGGAAGTGCAATAATTTTTCAGCATTCTTGGTATATGACTTATAATCATTAGATTAAAGACAGACTGTTTATCACGGTGGAGTGGTACGTATTTTCTGATCCTTAATTAAGGGTCTCAGGTTTTAGCTTTGAGTATAAAGCCGTCTTTAAAAGGAAGCACTTTATTCTCAAAGCGAGATTTTTCGTTGTGAATGCGAATTAGTCGGAGCCCAAAACAGATATTCCAAGCGAGATTGAAAACCAGAAAAATTCATCATACATGAAAAAAGTCAAAGAAAATTATGAGTTCATATTAATGCAGAGTAGGCCATTAATTTCAAGTCCACAAATAGTCCCCGTCTACGTGCATGTGGCAGATGTAGATAGGGTAGAAGAGTCCATGCAACTACTATTCAAACTATTTTTATATGGTTAAAGAATAATTTCGTATACTATAGTATTATGAATAGAATTGCTATCAAATATTTTCAAAGTTTTAAAATAAAAAAAGTATGTTGTCTACTTCCTCCATTTCATTAGTTTGTAAGATTAAGTTTAAGATACGATGTTTTAAAAGGCGGAGACGTGAGCCAGAACGCTTTATTTTCTATGAGGCAAGGCACAAGCCCCAAGGTATGGGGCGTAAGCCCCATAAATCTTTAAATGTGTTAATGTATATATTAACAAAATAGCATAATAACATAAAAATATAGGAAGTACAATACAAGTTTAAGAAAATTACAGATGATTAAAAAAGCTCATAAAAAATAAAATTTCTTGCATGTTTTTATTAGCATAAACAATCAATAATAATAATAATAATAATAATAATAATAATAATAATAATAATAATAATAATAATAATAATAATGTTACTATGAAATACAAATCAATTATAACGTCTTAACTTTGAAATATAAAAAAATCAAAATTTCTTAATAAATATTATTAAACAAAATATTTTACCTTCCTAACCGTAAATAATTAATAAACTTCACCAGTGTTGTAATTTAGAATATTACCCCTTTTGCTATTATCAAACTTTTACACATAATATTGATCTATCTTTTACATATAAGAGATCTAGAAAGGACACTTTCTTAATTTCAGCATTGTAACCATGAGGGCCCATTTCCTCCAATATCAAGTGAAAATATAAATTTTGGCTATCTATTTTAGATATTGACCCTCATGCAAGTTGTTCTCAATTAGTAAATCTGCAATATTATGACTTGTTATTTAAGTTACTCACAATCTTCATATTCCAGTTTTAAAGGTCAATAGTGCTAATTAGGATATTTGACTCATGATTTGAGTAATAATTGTTGGGTGTTATGCGTGTTTAGGGCGCACCGTTGGACGCTTGAGGCGTAAGCCTCGCCGAATTAAGTCCTACGCGTGAGTCTCAGGATGTTTTGACAGTGCCCCGCTCCAGGGCGAGTCCCGAAAAACCCTTTTAAACTACTCAGAATACAAACAACATTTTTAAATCTTGTAGTCTAAAACTAAAATGTGTATAGCATGTGAAAAATATCATTTGAATCTCGTGGTATTAAACATGTTATATCATTCTAATAAAAGAATATCATTAAGGATAAAATGAACGTATCAAAGTTTACTAAATATACAAAATTAAAACGGACGAAGTAATTAAATCGAAACTAGTGAAGTATTATATATATGGCTATGACAAAAGAAAAATCATCAAACAGGGTAAGCAGTCAAGACAAGATGAAACCAACTAATCTCAGTCAATGGGATTCATAATTGTGAGTACGTGATTTTTGCCGTATATGAATTACTCCCATAAATTCAAGATAAATAAATCTTCCATTATTTGCAATTCTGTAGATTTTTCATAGGATTTTTGTTAATTGTTTGCATTTGTCTGTGCATGTATTTTATTTAAATCATGAAAAAATACAAAAAAATATCACGCATTTGCATTTAGGACTTATTTTACATTTTAGGTTAATTAGTAAGTTAGTTGGTTTATTATAAATAAAATTACAAAAAATGGCTTATTTTTGCATTTTTAGCTTTTTAGTTTTAAATTAGCAATTTCTTTTTCTAATCTAGGAGTAATTAGTTTTTGAATACCATAGTAGATAATGAATTTAATTTTGCATATTAAAATTTAAGTTAGGATTTTGTTAATTAAAGAAAGAAAAAAGGAAGAAAGGTTGAAAGGAAAAAGGGGCTGAATTTTTTTAAAAAGAAAAAAGGGGCCAATTGGGCCAATTCTCCACCCCAAAGCTGAGCCCAACGCCACTAAACCTACCCAGCCCGGTAGGATCAACCCAGCTAACACCCAAACCCGCCTAACCATGACCCGCGCCGTTTTTCCCCCCTTTACTAGACAATTCTAATTATAACATAAAGGCAATTATAACCCTAATTTGTGAAGAACCCAAAACGCCGCTGCTATTCCCCCAAGCCCGTTTCTGCTCGCTCAACTCGTCTGAGTTTTCTGCTCGCTTAACTCATCTGAGTTTTCGGATGAATTCGTCCCCCAAACTCAACGCACATGGTCTCCTCCTCTCTCTCCAACGTGGCATAACCGTCTCTGACAGAATATTTTCAGCATTTATCCATTTTCACGCGCTCTTGATTTCGGGGGATGAATCTCGGGTAAATAGGAGCGGTTGGATGTGAGAAATCATATCCACGCCTTTCATTTGTCCAAGTTTCGTTCCATGTGAGGTTGGTTTTGATGTTTTTTTCGGATTTTGGGATAAAATTTGGGGATTTCTTGGAGAAGAGGTGAGAAGCTTCGAGAATCGAGTATATATAGTGAGGTTTCAGAGATTTGAGGAGGAGAATTTTGGAGAATTCGAGGGTAAAAAATCAGAGGAAGAAAAAAAAATAGAGGTTTTGTTCTGAGTTTTCTTAGGTTTTATTATTTCCCTCTTCATCTCGCTTCTAAAAGAAAATGCTAAAAAATTTCCAGTTTTTCGTTTGTTCTTAGTTGCTTCAGAAATCTGAAATTTCAAAAAAAAAAGGGTTCCATTTTCCTTCTCTGATTTTCGTTCAAGTGAAGTTGACTTAAGTAAAGTTCGTCGCTTTTGAAAGCTGTTGTTCGAGTTCGAGGGGTGAAATTTTCCTATTTTCTATTTAGAGGCTGTGTCAATTGTTGGAAAACATCTGCTGCTGTTTGTTTCCTTTGCTGGAATTCTGAGTCTCATCATCTAGTTTCAGGCCCTTACTTATCTTCTCTAGTTAATTTTTGCACTAAGGTACGTTTTGTTTCTATCTTATAGTCATAAACTTGAAGGGATAACATACTTCACCATATGTGTAGTCTGTCTGCTCAATACTGATACCTTATAGATATATGGATGTTTGCTTTACTAGTATGGTTCGTATGTCTTACTTGGTTTTGTGTTGTTCATGGTTGGTTCCATATATTCAGTGTGCTTTAAACTGTTTAGTATTCATTCTTTGTTGATCTTTGTTCTGCGTCTTTTGAAACTAATTTAACTTGCTAAAGTGTAGCGTTAATTAGTTCTCCACACTCTTTAGGTTGTTATTGTCTAACTGATGATTTGTGCTTAAAATGGCATCGAGATATGGTGGATGGATGGATTTGACCACCAGTTGGTCGGAGTCCTCTCTGAAAAAGCCAGTACATCACTCTAATTGCAGAATTACATAGTGCATCAGTTTCATAGTTTTCTTTGTATACAGTTGACAGATCCAAATTCCTATGGCTAGCTATAGGATTTGGCATGAGTCGAATCGAAATCCATTAGCCACATTTGCTATAATAGCTATTTGCCGTAATGATTTAAAGAAGGAACATTGATTTAGAAAAGTTCTTTTTCAGAATAGTTGTCATTTGATATTGTCTTATGGTTATCATGGTAGCAAAGTGTGATTATTCAAGTATTTTTTTAGTTTAATTATCGATTTAGTGATTTAATTATTTGTCTTTTCTAGCCTAGCACATGATGTAAATATTCCGTTCATTGATTAGTTGTTGAGTTTAACCTATGAGCAAAAAACTATTTTGGGATTCTGAAGTCGCTGATTCAAACGCAGAATAGCTCGGAAAATTCGGTGAAGATTTGATTTAAGCTAAGAACTGCTAGATTGGTACCATCTTCATTTTAATTAGTAAACCCAGTTTAATTTAGTTAGTAAATTGACTACCAAAAACCTTTTCCATAATTTTTGCCTTGAACCTTCGTAATTTGTTTTAGGCGTGTTTAATTAAATAATCGTCATAGCTACGGGTACGGTTCCCGTGACGTAGTTGTGATGCTTAATTTCTAATATCCGGGTGTGCATTTATGAGACCCAAATCCAAATCTCAACAATGTTAGATAAAATGTATCGTGGACCGCGGGTGCATTTATGTGACGTGGTTCAAGACGTGTTTTAAATGACGTTGAATCTTTCTAAAAAATATCTGAATAAAAGCGGCTATAAAGTTAAAATTGCACCATAGGCTAAAACATGTACTAAAATCAATAAATAGGCCAATAATAACAATTGAGCGACTGTGCTAAAACCATGGAACTCGGGAATGCCTAACACCTTTTCCCGAGTTAACAGAATTCCTTACCCGGATATCTGTGTTCGCGGACTGTAATACAGAGTCAATCTTTTTCTCGATTCGGGATTTGAACCGGTGACTTGAGACACCATAAAATTATCCCAAGTGGTGACTCTGAATTTAATAAATAAATAATCTCATTTCGATTGTCACTTTAAGTCGGAAAAAACTTCCTTATACTCCCTTTAACGGAGTTTAGTAAAAAAAAGAGGTGTGACAATAACGATCCACGAAAAATTATTATTTTGATAAATCGGTTAAAACAAAAGAAAATCAGGCTAAGAGATGACTCGTATTCCATCCGTCTATCGGATCCTAATATAATTCAATCCTATAGAAAGTTTTAATTAACAAGTAACTACTTTTGCAACTATAGTGCTTTGTTGAAATACGTCTTAGCTATGAATCTAGCTAGTAGTACAATCTCTTTATGGTACAATCGAACTACTTATGCATACATTAAATAACAAGAACTTTAATTCATATATACTTATACATTGTACGTATTATTACTGGTAATAAAATAATTACTTACCAAAAAAAATAATTTATATATACTTATAGTTTATATTTCTTTACTACAAAATTACTCAAACAATCTTTATAACTAACCTACCATAAAAAGTGAAATTTATGATCATAAAAATAATTTATAACAAGTAAAATGGCTTGATAATATAATGTAAATACTCTTTATAACTATTTCATTGTATATAGTTAAACCTAGACCTGTTAAACGGGTCGACCCGACCCGAATCCGAATCTGTTGACTCTTGGCCCGTGGGTCCTTAACAGGGCAGGTCTGACTCACTTTCTTATAGGGACTGGTCCGGATTTGACCCATTAATCAAAATATGTTGATCCGGCCCAGATCCGTAACACATAACCCCTTGACCACGAGCTCTAATGGGCCGAATCCAATTTAGTTAAAAAAGGAATTTTTACATACCTATACACTATTGGAAACTTTATTACCCTCCCTACTCAAGTTTCAATTTAATTAGTTCCTATATACAAATTTACCAATTATATACATTTTAGGAATTAAATGAGTATCCCTTTATATTAGGAATCAATTATTTCTCATCCTTATTCTCGCTCCCTCATGCTCTCTCTCTCTCTCTCTCCCCCTCTCTCTCTCTCTCTCTCTCTCTACGTCGCTCTTTATCTATCAATCCCTAATTCCAGTAATGTAGAACAAAGAAAAAGAGAGCAGCAATTCCACCATTGACAACCATTAAAAAACTTTGAATTCGAATTTGGGTTTTCAAAAAATATTATTTGTTTGAATTGGATGTTACTGCAAACAATTGGGAATTCTCTCTACGTCTCTCTCTATCTTACAATCCCTAATTCTAGTAATATAGAGCAAAGGAAAAGAGAGCAGCAATTCCACCATTGACAGCCATTAAAAAGCTTTGAAGCTTTGAATTCGAATTTGGATTTTCAAAAACCATTATTTGTTTAGATTGAGTGTTATTGCAAACAATTGGGAATATGGTTTGGAGTTTATATCTCAATTTTGAGGGTGTTTTGGTGAATATTAGACTTGATTTTGGCTGAATTTCAGATTGAAACTCTAAGAAGAAGAAGAAGAAGAAGAAGAAGAAGAAGAAGAAGAAGAAGACGATGACATGACATATATTATACTCAAGAAATTGTAGTACAATTGTAGTAAAATTATAGAAAAATATATTCTCTTGTTTATATATATATTTTTATTTAACTATTGTATGAAAGTTGAAAAATATTGTATAAAAATTGTATTTAAGCTGTATGATATTGTAGTTGTATATAACTAAGTAGAAATAATATATAAAAATTGTAGATAAGTTGTATAATATATAATTAGTTGTATGAAATTTATTTTTACTATGTATAAATCACATACAAAATTTATAAAAGACATATTTTATAAAATTTGTATAAAAACTGTACAAAATTTCTTGTTATTCCAAATTGAGCAACAACCAAACCACATCTTCTACTGGGTAAGAACCTGAGAATTGTCGGAAAGGCAGTAATCGGGTGGTGGGAGGGGAACATGATTTTGTGTTCGTTCACATACTGATTTCCCTGACCCGAATACTCTTTGTTATTGCACTTCTCAATTCTTACAACTACCATAATTCTCTTTCTCGTTACTAATTTAATATCCACGTAATTAAGTTTTTTATATCTTATATTGACATGTGTGACACAAAGAAATAGGATTGCTTCTCAATATTCTATATTGAGAGGGTAGTATGTATGCAGATTTTACCCCTACTTGAAGAGGTAGAGAGGCTGTTTCCGAAGACCCTCGGCTCAAGAAAAGATGGAAAGGAAAAATAGGGGAGAAGAAGAATGAGGAAAAAGGGAGGAGAAAGAAGGAAGAGAAAGGCAAAAGACGATAAGGAAAGAGGAGAAAAAGTAGCATCAAATAGTAACCATCAGGGAGCAATAAAAATAAAGGAAAAATCATACTTTATTAACATTAAAACTTGAGAAAGATATGGAACTATTTCGCCAAGAGGACTCATAGGTGTCTAGTACTATATTTTTTCTTTAATGGTTGGATTCAATTTTTTACCACTTGTCCGAATATATATGTGAGTTGGTCCGAGCCGGTTGACCCGTGGGTAAGCTACCGGTTCGGGTCCGGTCCGGTTCAGTGGGTCAAAATATTAGTCCGACCCAGGCCCCTTAAATTAATGAATTGGTCCGGTTAGGATTTCGTGGGTCATGGGCCTGTTAAAGAATCAATTTTAATGGATTATGTGGGTCGGTTCGTGGGTCGACCCGACCCATCGTCTAGTTAAACTTAAACCTATAAATATATGACGTCTACAATTTAATCTTTTCTCATCTTCCTTTTCAATTATTTTTCTTTCTTTCTTTTTCCTGTTTTGAGGTTGAGAAAAATTCAACTCCAATGTGTCTTTTTCTCTCTAAACCGCGTTTTTGCCATCATCACTCTTTAATTAGCTCACCTAAAATAACCCCACACCAAAGTGAACTAACTACTCATTCCATATTCTCTATTTAAAGACTATTTCTTTGAAAAGTATATCTTACGAGATGTTTAGACTTATTTATATTAGTAATAGAATTGCAATATAATGTATATTAATTGATAATTAAGTGACAATAATTTATGTAAAGCATGGGATATATTTACAGCTTGTTTGGATGATTGTTATATATTTTATCATAATGTATCGTATCGTATATCATTTTAATGTATACAATATTTGGATAATTTGTATTATTTTTCGTCATTTTATCAAGTCACTCACAAAAAATATAAAGAAAAAGTAAGGTTCATGATAGAATTATTATATAAAAATGTAGGATAAAGGATAGAATAGGATTATTTAATAATATGGAAGTGCAAGAAGAGAGAGAAAAATATGAGAACCACGCGACCATACCAAATCGGTCGTTCTATAAAGTGACTTTTTTTGTTGTTAACGATAGATTTAATAATACGATACAATAATATTTAAGTAACAATCAAAACAAATATTATATTTAAAGTAACAATACGATATAATACAACACCTAACAATTATCCAAACAAGTTGTTATACTAGTTTAATATGATTGAGCGATTAAATTAAAGTATAAAATTATATTATTCAATTATAAATAAATAATACTAAGTACTCAAGTAGAAAATTCATTCCTAATATGTTTAAAAGAGAACGATTTTTTTAAATTTGAAAATAAAATAATTTAAATTTCTTGTATTATCCTAATTGACAAATTTTTATAATTACACAAATATTATAATACGTTTAAGATGACAAATAATATTATCAATATCAATTATTTTATAGGTAAAATGACATTGTATAGTCTCTCTCAAAGTAATATCCTAAAAATATATATTGTTTGTTTATATATATATATAATTATTCAAATTTTATATACTTTTTTGGCTACCAAAAATAAATAATTTCTGGCACGGGCTAAAAATAATAATACCTTTATTTTATATGATAAGTTTAAAAAAAATTATCTTATTTTTTTAAACAGTAAAACTTATCTGTACCCGACTCCATTTCTGCGAAATTTCCTCTACCGCGTCAACCTCTACCTATTTTATTCTCCCTCAAACTCTCATATCCTTCAGCTGTAAGTAAACTATTATCACTCCTACATAGACCAAGATTCAATATTTATACTATAAAATTTCTCTTCTTTATCCTCTCATACCATTCATCTCTAAACTTCACTCTTTTATTCCAAGATTTCAATTCTTTATACACAATTTCACTTCTTGATATTTGAGAAAAACCTTCATCTTTTACTCCAAGATTGAATTTTTATACAAAAATATCATCTGGGGTATAGGAAAAAGTGACAAAAATGGAGAATAATCAGTCATCTTTCTATCAATTCAGTGATAAGCTTCGTTTACAAACAAACAACTTAGCAAATTTATCTTCAAATGATTCAATTTGGAGCAACAATTATGTACCAAAAAAGCCTGAAGAAAGAAAAAACTTTGATATTAGAGTTGGTGGCGAGGTTATAAATTCTGTTATTAGTTCAAATATGCCAAAAAAAAATCTCAATTCAGATTATAATTTGTTTAGTAATAAAGGGGTTTACACTAACCCTTTGAATTTCTGTTACAGTAGTAGTAGTAAGGGTAGTAGTGAAAATAACAATAACAATAACAATATTGTTGTGAATTCAAAAGGGGTTATCAAGAAAAGTGGAAAATTTGGTTATGAGGATGAAAGTGGCTATTTTATGAATAAATTTGGGAAGAAAAATAATAACAAGATTAATAGAGAGAGTAATTATAAGGATGAGAATAAGAATATTGGTGTAGAGAAGAGGTTCAAGACATTACCAGCATCAGAATCATTACCAAGAAATGAAACAGTTGGTGGATATATTTTTGTTTGCAACAATGATACTATGCATGAGAATCTCAAAAGGGAGCTCTTTGGTTAGTATTCTATTCTCATATTTTATTTTTATTTTTATTTTTTTTAAAAAAAATTACTTTTATTTCTTGGTTTTTCTGCATTGTTGTTCTCTCAGTTGGATGTTGTAGTTTAAAGTTGTTTACTTTTGCAAATAGCTGCAATTAAGTTGGCTGTATGGTATGGATGACTCATACTGCCAGTAGCAGAGCCAGGATTTTCATTAAGGGGATCAAATTTTAAAAAAATAAATACATGAAAAAATCGAGGGAATTCAATACATAGTAGTAATGTTTACCTATCTACGCAGTATATTTTTCCGGCGACGCTTGGAGCTATGTGGCTACGCCACTGCATATAGCTGGCGAGCTGTTTTGAGATTGAGGCATAGTTGATTGATTGATAGATTGAGGTGCAGTTGATTAATTTATATATTGATTGAGTTTGCTAGATTTAATGAGTATGCTCAAGGCGAATTGTTATAAAATTACTGAAAGAGTATTGAGTTTCTCTGTATCTATTCTGTTCTTGAATTGTTTGATAGTAGCAAGTTTGTGTCTTGATAATTATTGTTTGCATTTCAGCGATGACGTTTTCAGTTGGTAATTGAATGTTCCTGAAGTTCTTGATGTTCTGTTTCTCAAGATAAATAGGATGATTTAGGTTTCTTTTGATCTGGTAATATTGGTGTTATTGGTTTGGGGTGGTCGAATGCGTGAAGTAGTAAAGAACACATTTCAAACTCCCAGACGAGTGTTTCATATCGGAGATCCGAAGTCGGTTAGGCCAGAAGCTCGGGGATTGAATACCCCTATGTACCAAGTGACTAGCTTGGCTGGTGATGCAAATTTGCCGCTGCTTGTATTCCCCGGTTAAAGAATATGAGTTCCGCATAATAAAGCTGGTCTCAAATTCGCCTGCATAAAAAACGTTTAGCTACGATGAATTCTCCAAATACTGTATAGGTCTGAATACATAGGATTATATAGTCAACGCCGACTAATTTGGGATTGAGGTGTCGTTGATTGATTCATTGTGTTTGCATAGACCATTCTAGTTATCCTTCAGTCCATACAACAAAAAGAAGGTAAAAATTGAATTTTTTTTCCTGATATCTGCTCCTATTATATTTCAGGCTTGCCGCCTCGTTACAGGGATTCAGTTCGCCAAATAACACCCGGCTTGCCTCTTTTCCTCTACAACTACTCAACCCACCAGCTTCATGGAATATTTGAGGTTTGTTTTCTAATTTTCCATCACATTGTTGACAGTAAATAAATCTCTCAAATTTGCTGTCTTAAGATCTTTTCCCTTTTTAATTTGCGTGGCCGTTTAACTAATACATGAATCGGTTCATAGGCTGCGAGCTTTGGTGGTTCCAATATTGATCCTACAGCCTGGGAAGACAAGAAGAACACTGGTGAATCGCGCTTTCCTGCTCAAGTAAGAAAAGTTAACAAATGCTATTAGCTTTGTGCAGAATTTCATTAGATATTTGAATGATAGGGACGAAACTAGACAAAAACGTAACAAACTTTATTGCATATATATAATTTGTTGAATCTTCTTGACATAAGAAAATATTTTAAGATAGACGCAAATATGGTCCAAGAATTGCTTTAGGTCATAGGTTTAAATCACAGATGTGACATATCGCATTTTTTCAAATTCCCTTATTAGAATTTCTGGCTCCGCCACTGACTGGTATGATAAGAATATCTCTCTTATCCTATCATATTTATTTCATTTACCAGATTAAGGATGAATATGTTATGAGGTTTGATTAACTGGAAAATTACTTGAAATCAGACTGAATAAGGTTCCTGGTTTGTGTATTAAGACTTGCTACTTTGTCTATTTGAGTATAGGTACGTGTTGTGACAAGGAAAATTTGTGAACCACTTGAAGAGGACTCATTCAGGCCAATTCTTCACCATTACGATGGTCCTAAATTCCGCCTTGAATTAAACATTCCAGAGGTGATTATTATCTTCGTAAAAAGAAATAACTTATGGTCTCCGTTTATAAATAGAGCATATGAGACCTTTGTTTTAACATGAAAAATGTGTTTTGGTTTTGCAGGCCATCTCTCTCCTGGACATTTTTGCAGAGAAAAATATACTGAATAGTTTGTTAAATTGACAGACCCTTGTGGTCCTGCCCTTCCCGTAACCCGCGCATAGCGGGAGCTTAGTGCATCCGACTGCCTTTTCTTAGGTTGTTAAATTGAAGGGTCTAGTATACATAGGTAATTATATGTTATGTATATAGGCAATATATGTGATGTGAAGGAACTGTTTTTTCCCTTTGCAGACTAATGTTACAAACCGTTTTGTAAGTAAAACAAAGTTCTATTCTGTTTTTTGGGTTTTTATTCAAAACTTATTATTAGCACATTGGCCCTAAGACAAGTTGTTCTTGAAAGATGATACAAAGTGCAGTGTTTTGATGTGTGAGTTAGGCATACGTCATGGATTCAAATCGTGTTGTATAGAAAAGCCCGATACTTAAATGGAGATCTGTCGAGGGATGAGTAAATTTCATACGTGGGATATGAGATTTTTTAGTGTTATTTTCTTCTATTCACGTTGTAAGTGGACATTGGCGATCATTATCTAGAATTGCATTTACTGTCACAGACTAATATGTGTATTGTAGTCGTTATTGTACTTTGTCACAAGGTAAGGATAAGGTACGTGTATATACTATCCTCATCAGATCCCACATGTAAAATTTTACTGGATATGTTGTTGTTATTGACTTTCAAAATACCAAATCCTTAGGGCAAGTGAGATATATATCTTTCTCAAGGTTCTAGAAATGAGCAATTGTTTAGAGGTGAATAATGAATATGAGTGTAGAACAATAATTGGAAGGGAACCTTGGAGCAACGGTTAGATGTCACAAGTTCGAGCTGTGGAATTAGTCACTGATGCTTGTATCAGGGTAGGCTGTTTACATTACATCTCTTGGGGTGCAACCCTTCCCCGAGTCTTGCCCTTCCTCGATTGTTGCGTGAATACGAGATGCTTTGTGCACCAGATTATCCTTTTTAGTATAGAATAATAATTGAATAAAGAGGAAATAAAGACAATTATTGAGAGTTAAATTTAGAAAGTAGTTGGAAAGTAGCAACTAGAATGGTTGAACTGTCCTCTCTAACATTGGAACAAGTCGTTGAATAAGTTTACTTGTCCATGTCAAATTCAAACAATACAAGTTAGTTTATTTGAACCTCTCTCTTTGTTTGTTCTAGTATTTAAAGATTATCTTCTGGTGTCATGTCATTATATGAAANATATATATGGACCTAATAAGTAAAACTACAAAAAGATAAAATATTATGTCAAAACGACTTCACATCACTAGAAGGATCAAAGTTATAATTGTAGGCCGACAATTTTACTAAATGGATACAATCAAATGCAAAATTTGACATAATCATAGAAAATTTGGTCTCTTACTGCGGCGTAAATATGTCACAACTCTATTTTTCATTATTTTTTTAAAATTATTTTGTGTTGAATTTTAATTTATGGGAAAAGGATGGTTAGGAGCTTAATCTACCATTAAAGTTGGAATTTTGACTCTTGACAAATCAATAAAAGGTCCTAACTTTATTAGATAAATAAAATAAGACAGCATTAATCATCCATCCAGGGTCCATAGCTCAGTGGTAGAGCATTTGACTGCAGATCAAGAGGTCACCGGTTCGAACCCGGTTGGGCCCTATCTTTTTTTTCCCCTATTTTTTCAGTCTTGATACTTTTACCTCCTTTTATTAAATCGCAACAACCATCTCAGTCCAATATTATACCTCTTTTAAGAAATCACTTTTCAAGTGATAACTGCATATGTTAATTTTTTACCTACTACAATTATTGCAGTTATAAATGAAGAAGGAAAATAGTAGTTTGCTGTTAAAAACATTATTAATCAGTACGACATTACAATCAAATTCAGTACAGGATTTGTTTTGTTCAAAAACATTAGGATCTGCTTTTTTTTTTTTTTTTTTTTTTTTTTTTTTTTTGTTTATTGAAACAAGACTTCTATTAAATCATTAAGGACATGATTTATCCGAAGGAACATACAACTTCTTTTTTTTTATAAAGTGAGAGATACTGGTGTAAATCATAAATTGTTTATGTGTTATGTAAAAATCGTCCATGTATTATCTATGATCGCTTAAGTTATTACCAAGATCATTTCTTATAAAGGTCCATAAAATAGGAATTCAAGACGATTTTAAATTTTTGTGGGCTAATGTCCACGTCATCTTTAAGAATCCAGGCGAAGGGCTCTTATCGCCTAAAATTTTTTAGGCCCATCAAAAACGAGTTAATGAACCATATTTATTATTTCGCCATGATCGTTCCTCATTTTTTAGCATTTTAGGGCCATAAAACAGAAAATCAGGGTGATTTCAATTTTTCGTGCGCTAAAAACTGAAAATTTTCAATTGTTCGGGCAACGGGCTCCGATAGCCAAAACTTTTGTGGGCACTTCAAAAAAGATTAATGAACAATAGTCATTGATTCGCCATGGTTATTCCTCATTTTTTTGGCATTTTAAGGCCATCAAATAAGAATTTAGGACGATTTCCAAATTTAAATATGCTAATGTCCACGTCATCTTCATGAATTCAGGCAACGGGTTCCGAATCGCATATAATTTGTGGGCCAATAAAAAACGAACTAATAAATAATAGTCATCGCTTCGCCATAACCGTCCCTTATTTTTGGTATTTTCGGGCTATAAAACAGAAATTCAAGACAATTTCTAATTTTTCGTGTGCTCATGTCCATGCTATCTTCATAAATTCTGGCGACAGTCTCCAAATCGCCTAATTTTTTGAGGCCATAAAAAATGACCTAAGAAAAATATTCATCACTTCGCCATGGTTGTACCTGATTTTTGGCGTTTTAGAGTCGTAAATAAGAATTCGGGATGGTTTCTAATTTTTCGTGTGCTAATATCCACGTCATCTTCGTGTATTCGAGCGGCAGGCTTTAAATCGCCTAATTTTTTTTAGGCCCAACGTAATGAACAATAGTCATCACTTCTCCATGATCCTTCCTATTTTTTGGTATTTTAGGGCCATAAAATAGGAATTCAGGGCGATTTCAAATTTTACGTGTGCTAATGTCTGTGAGCACGTGATTTTTGCTTCACGGAAATTGCTCCAAAAGAAATCAAAAAATAAAACAAAATCCATCTGTGTACGATTTTTAGAATTTACGTGACATTTTGGTAATTATTTGGTCCGTAAATGCTTGTCGTTGTTCTGATATATATATATA